ATAACACCAAACGTTACTTATACAACATATAAGGACATGGTTCATCAATTCCACTGGCTGCAAAATGGAGGATATTACAAGCCTGCTTATTCGTGTTTCCCCAATCAAAAAGTTGCCATAATAATTCCATTCCGAAATAGGGAATATCATTTGAGAATTTTGTTGAACAATCTACATCCAATGCTATATCATCAGCAGATTGAGTATTCAGTGTTTGTACTGCAGCAGGTAATACACACATGTCAGAAAAAAAGGTGCATTGTTCACTTTATCGTTTATTTTTAAGAAATTTATGATTTTGACTTTTCTAAGGTAATTACTGACAATGCATAATAATTGTTAAATTGGGGGAGGGGTTACTTTATGCAGAAATGTTGACAACATATCTGGGGAAAAAAATCGTCTAATGTGTGTGTGGGGGGTCTAACTTTTTTGTGAAAATTGAGATTTTTGGGGGAGAGGGGGTAGTTTTACATCAATATAGGAGGATTTGAGGGTGGGTGGACAACAGGCCTTTCATTGAAAATTTTCTTACTAATTTAAAAATACATGAAACAACACATTCGATTCAGGGGAAAAACGGACATGGCGAGTGGGGATGGGTCGCTTCTAGGGCTGTCACGATTCCCCGAAATAACCGAAAACTGCGGTCAAAGTTGTTCGGTTCGGTTCTATTTTTTCGGATATCGGTTTATATGTTATATATTTATAAATTAGAATATGTTTTTTTCTTTACAAAAAATGGCGTCGAAATCAAAAGACTGATGACGATAACAGTGATAAATAAATATCGCAATTGAATTATACTTCACTCCATGACAAAACACTTGTCACGAAAGGATTAAATAATTATCAAAACAAGCAAGAATGGTCAGATTGTAGCTAATAGTCAGCCTAATAGTCCTAAACACTCAAGACGTTAACATGGATAAGATTTGTTTTAAAGGTGAATGTATCGTAACAAAAACTATTTTTTTAAATGTTAAATTCATGAAATTAAGGTTTAAAATAGAGGTAAATAAACGAACAGAAAAACCCGAAACCGAACCGAAAATTTACAGATCCAAACCCGACCCGAAAAATTTTGGAACCATAACAGCCCTAGTCGCTTCTCCACCCCGAGACAATGTACCTTTAAGTAACCAATACTCCTTGAAGTTTATGTATACCTGATAATAGTAAAGCATCAATATTTTCATTAGTTTCACATCTGTAAAATTTTAGGCTGACAAGAAAGGATTCAACAAAGGGAAGCTGTGCAATATTGGATATACCCAAGCAATAAAACGAAACCATACTTGCTTTGTATTTCACGACGTTGATCTTATTCCAGAAAACGACAAAATTTTATATGGATGTGCTCAAAGCCCTATGCATCTTTCAAGGGCAATAGACAAATTCGGTTACAGGTTTTTATACATAATATATGTAGAGTTTTTGATTGCTTGCACAATAATGGAAGATTTGCTTTAATAGTATTTCTCAACCCTTTTATCAGCTCCCCAATAAAATCATTAGCTTTAAATAAAATATATATGGGTACGCAGCTTTGTCCAGATTAGATAAGACAAGGAGGCAGGGTATAACTTGCACGCGAAATATGACATTACGTAAAAGTTTTTTTTTTTCTTTTCAATCCACCAGATAATGAAATAATGTGCTATTTTAAGCAATAAAGGAATATAAAACAATACCATATCTTACATTACACATAGTTTAGTCGTTCGTTAAATGTGCCATCGCAAGGAAGTAAGATCCGATGCAGTTTTTGGACGATCGTTCTCAGATTGTCTGAAAGTAAACAAATCTTATATAGACCATTAATAAATATGAGTTCATAATATTTTTAAATGCTACTAAGAACGAGGGTGCTTTTGATTGGCATTTGGCAGGAACCTGGCCGCACTTGAAAAGTTAAAATTTCATTGTTCTGTCACATGAAGTTTTAGCATTCTTTTGATGTATCGGGTTCCTGTGAAATAGGAAAGGGAAACATTTTACCGATATTGTGTTTTGATTTGCTAAAAAATAACTTGAAAAAAGGCTAGCTGATTCATTTGGTACAAAATGTCACATTTTAAAACACGTTTTTCTAAAACTTTGCTATCTCTGGGTCATCTCTCCATGATTTTCAAATGTAATTTGCATGCATTCTAATTAGAAACAATCATTTGTAAAAGATGGAGAGAAGACCCAAAGACCGTAAAAAATTAACTTTTTTACAAAAAAAAAAATAAATAAATAAATTCCATTGTGTAAATGCGGTGCTTCATTGTCGTTTTAAAATCCAAGTTGTATGTGTAGCGATGAAATAGCACAGTAGTAAGCGCAATGGAATCGAAAATTTGTTGGTTTGACTCTCGCATGGAGTTTTAATTTTTTTTTTTTTTTCAAGCAAACAATCAATTTTTTGTTAGTTTAATTTTTTTTGTACTGATTTATTTTAAAATGGATAAATTCTTCCAGCCTACTGATACTTTAATATACACATGTACTTGTAATTGCATTTAACTATGCCCTTAATATCTTGAAGGTGTTTATTATAAATGTGAAGCATTACTATGTTATAGTTTGATTATTAAGATAAGCGGACCTAAATATTCCAATTCGGCATGTTATTTCAAACTAAATGTAACATTTTCCTACGTGCGTAACTTTGTAAAGCCTGTCCAGCTGTGGTCAGCCGACCAAATTGTACACATTTAAACTATAAATGTTTCATACACATGATTTCTGCAGATCACACAGAAAAATACGCCCATCTTCTTTAATTGATATCTAACGGGGGTACCTGGCCCCAAGACCATAAACTGAGAACAGACTTAAGTCAAAATTTCAAATCGGTGTAACTTTTGAAATAAGTTTCAAAATGAAACAAAATTTTCAGGTTATGTTTGTAATAAAATATTTAACAAAATTGCATGTTTGTTGAATAATAATGAAAATATTCAAAATCTAAATTTTGACTTAAGTCTATTCTCAGTTTATGGTCTTGGAGCCCGATACTATATGTTAAATTTATTTCATCGTAATTTTGCATGCAAGAATGATAAATGATTGACAAGGAGAAACATTGCTTTTGCACTTTTTTCTGTTAATTTATCATTTACTGACCTTTTTTCATATTCGACACCTTTTATTCCGACGCTTGTTATCTCTAAATTTTAAACCAATTTCATGCGCATGAATTTGTAGTCATGGAATATTGAGGAAATTTTTAAAATAATTTTACTACATCAAATCATTAAAATGATTTACCATACAAGGATAAATGAAGGAACTTTTTCATTATTCCAAAAATTTGATATTATAAGAATGTTTGTTCACTGACTTTAATGGACAAATCCAGCATTTACCTTGATTTTGCATAATTTAAGAGTTACACAGTATAGACAGTTAATCTATTGTGACGTCAGATTTCAATCTTCCTTGCTTTACAATCGATTGCATTCGATTTTTGTTGTGCATATAGTGTTTGATTCAAGTACAAGTGTTGAACACTTCGCTTCATTTTTATTCTCATTCTCTTTTTTAAGGTTTGTAAAGTATATTGAGATTGTTGCTAGGGAAGAAGTTTAATCTGCTAAAAAGGCGTTTGAAAAGCACTTAAGATTTTTTTTGTAAGAGATTTTTAAGTTAACATCTTACGCAAAAATTAGAAAAAGGGCTCTAGTACCTCAGATATAAAACAGTCTATTACTTTGATATATTCACGTGGTCCTCAAACGTCATAAAGGCGACGACTTCCAAATCATACCAAAAACGGTCGCCGAAAAATCAGAAATACATGTATGAGGAAATAGTAGGGCATTGTGGCTAAAACATATTTACATGTAATTATGTATCATTTAAATAAAAACCTTAAAATAATAGGGAAATGAATTTCTGCATATCATTTATAAACAACGACAAGAAGTCGTACATATTGGCTAGTGGCGATTAGTGTGACTTCGAAATGAACGTGTTTTTACAAACACAAATATTTATTGGCACAAACACAATTACAATAATTGGCAAAGGCCCATTAAACATATTAATATGACTGTTTTTATTACTTATTTTCCAAAGTATGCGAAAAAATATGCGCTTTTATCTGATTTTCTTTTCTTAAATATCTATATCAATATAAAAGCATCAATGCCAGTTCCGTCACCTGCTGGTGATAACATATAGGATGGCGAACGTGGTACGAGTCGACTAACGATAATATATTTAACAAGTTGTAAAGTATGTGGAAAAATTTAAATTACACACAATAATTTAAGCAGAAAATCATTTCCTATCAGTCTTCAACAAATCCTAATAAATTTTCTCCATATGACTAGAAAGTTTGCATGGAAATGGTTTACTAGCATTATGATTTGTTTATTCCATTTAGAATTTTCAGAATCAATTGGTGGCATTGTTTTGACTTGTGAAACGTAATTTCGAATCGAGACTGTTGATGTGACAAAAATGTAAACAACACACTTATATTAAAATCAGAGATACATGTACATGTAAAATGAGTTAAACTGATGCAAATCATTAAATTGGCCGCAAAAAAATATATTTAGCATTTTAAAGTATTTCCACGACAAAGAAACCAAAGAAAAAATTCAAAGTAGAAAAGGATATCATACATTTTCATTGTGAATTGTACACTTGCGTTACTTTTCTGTTCATTTTTATACTTTAATTTTCAGCGAGCAACTGTTAAATATTAATTTAAATAAATAAATTCATTGAAATGAAAATCGGACTGAGCGCGATAAATTATTTGATTCAAAGACAAATGCAACAAAGGTCAAGAATTATTAATTATGAATGTCTGAATGGTGACAAAAAGGACGTCCAAACTTCACATGCTCATACCCTGGAACTTTGTACGCGATAATGCCAATAAAATGTATCACAATAAATGTGAAGTGCAGGAGGAAAAAAATGTGTCATTGGCAACTGCAGTGCATTCAAAAACAATATTCACTCCTTCTAAAAAGATTATGTCCCCGTATCGAAGATTAAGGCATACAGTATAAAGATTTTGCCTGTCCGTCCGTCTGTCTGTTTGTCCGCAAAACATTAACAATGGCCACAATTTTTGATTGGTTGGAGCTATGGCTTTTATATTTCACATGTGTATTCCTTGTGACAAGACCTTTCTCTGGGTACCATCATATTTGACCTTTTGACCTTGGAGTTTGACCAAGTTTTACAAAAGTTTACCCAACTTTAACCTTGGCCATCACTTTTGAACAATTAGTGCTAGGGCTTTCATACTGTACATGTGTAATCCTTGTGACATGACCTTCCTTTGGATACCAACAACTTTGATCTTTTGACCTTGACCTAGGAGTTTAACTTACTTTTGAAAAACTTTAATATTGGATTGGCCGTAACTTTTGAACAGTTGGTGCTAGGGCTTTCATACTTCTTTTATGTAATCCTTATGACAAGACCTTCCTTTGAATACCAGCAACTTTTACCCTTTGACCTTGGAGTTTGACCTACTTTTGGAAAGCTTTAACTTTGGACACAACTTTTGAACAGTTGGTGCTAGGGCTTTCATATTTAACACGTCTATTCCTTGTGACAAAACCTTCCTTTGGATACCAACAATTGTAATCCATTGACTTTGACCTTGGAGTTTGACCTACTTTTGAAAAAAAATTAACCTTGGTCATAACTTTTGAACAATTGGTGCTTCGGCTTTCATATTTCACCTGTGTATTTCTTGAGAGAAGACCTTTCCTTGAGCACCATTAATTCTGACCATTTGACCTTGATGTTTGACTTACTTTTCAAAAACTTAAACCTTTTCCATATCTATTTAATGGTTGCTCCTACGGCTTTCATATTTCAGAGGTATGTTCCTCGAGACAAGACCTTACTTTGGATACCAACATATTTGATTTGCATTTGAGAAAATTTGACCTTTGCTATAAGTTGCCATACGGGGGCATCAGTGTTTCACAAACACATCTTGTTTTTTTTTAAAAATTATTTTAGGCACTGTAATTCATATCGGGAAACTTAATACGTTTTGTTTTTATATCGTTCGCACGCTCATGTTGGGGAGTAGTTCATTTAACAACTTTAAAAAATGGTCTAAGAAAAGGCATTTTTTTAATATAAAAAAAGCATTTACTGTGCTATCTATATGCATTTTCCAATAAAACAAGTTGAGTATCTTTTTTTGTGAAATTTTGTTTACTTATTGCAAGACTTTGAGCAAGTGGGCAATAGGGTATATCCGGGTAATTCTGGAAAGTGCAGAACTTTTTATAAATAACGACTGCTTTCTTGTTGTTCACAGACTAAATTTTATTAGAATCTTCTGATGTTTTTCCTTTGTTATATTATTACCTTCTGAACATATTGATGTATATTTTTCCAAAATATTTGTCCTTTATTGACCTTAGACCTTTGC